TTTTTTTTTTTTCAGACACCAGCTTTTAGTCTAATTAATTGATTAATTTATATATTTTTATTACATCACATTTCAAACCAAAGGTTGGATAAATACAGAGGATACATGTTAAAACTTAAAATACAATGATAAAAAAGAAGAAGGTTATAATGAAATAAAATAATAATAGAAACAATAATATGCAATTGCAGTATCATACTACTGGTGCATGCAGTAGTCATACTGTACTAGTACTACTAGTAGTATTACCACCAAACTACTTATTAACATGCTTATACTTTTAAGACTTATTTTGTGCATTAACTTACATTTGTAAATTTCAATTCTTCCCCTCTCATGCTTTATCATGCCAGGTACACTCTTCTATAAAATAAAGTGACTTAATAATGTGATACTAAGAGTGACATTTATTTAATTGCATAATGGACATGTACTGGTATATTAAACTTCTCGGAAAATATTATAGTTTTCAGAGGGAAGATATCGATCGGTTGGTTCGACTTCTTCAACTTCCAGACAGAATGATATTTGCTGACAGAACAGTAACTTCGGGAAGAGAGGCTTTATGTGTATTACTAAAGAGGCTGTCATATCCAAACAGATTAGTGGACCTTGAAAATGTGTTTGGAAGATGTACAAGTCAGTTATCTGTAATCGTGAATGAAACAGTGGACCACATATATGACAATTATAGTCACTTGATTCATAATCTAGATCAACCATGGATGGACATGGATCATCTCATGCAGTATTCTGAGGCGATTGTTTCACAGGGTGCACCATTAAATAAGTGTATTGGTTTTGTGGATGGCACCGTTAGACCTATAAGTAGACCTACATTTCTACAACGGACATGCTACAATGGACACAAAAGGACACACGCAATTAAATTCCAGAGCGTTGTGATCCCAAATGGGATTATATGCAGTTTGTATGGCCCAATGGAAGGCAAGCGCCACGACTGTGCCCTTTTGAAAGAGAGTGGTCTTCTTCAACAGCTGCAACAGCTACCACAAGATGTTGATGGGCGATTTTGTATTTATGGTGACCCTGCATACCCCATCCGCCCCCAACTTCAGTGTCCATTTCGAGGTGCAAACATTACACCAGAGCAGCACGCATTTAATTCTGAAATGTCTCGGGTCCGAGAAAGTGTAGAGTGGGCCTTTGGAAAAATTGTACAAACTTTTGCTTTTCTCGACTTCAAAAAAAATTTAAAACTTTACCTTCAGCCTGTTGGCAAATTGTACGCAGTTGGTGCAATTCTCACCAACTGCCATACTTGTTGCTATGGTGGAGTTATTACAGAATTTTTTAATGTACACCCTCCAACATTGGAGGAATATTTATATCAAAGAAACTAAACATAATAAATGCATCACATATCTAAAAGAATTAAGATAATGTGCTGTAGTGTAGAGGAAAAGAATTGAGCAAATAAAGAATTGTACAAGGTTGAAATTTTTTATTTACAATATAGTGGTAATTTTCTGTAACTATTGAGCAATGAAACGTTTTAAACATATAAAAAATTAGAAAAAGATTTCAAAATATGAGCAATATTTGGAACTTTTGTACAAAACTGAAATAAGAGCATTTATTTTTTGTAGCAGCATTCAACAATAAGTAACGGTACCGAATGCCATTAATTGCATGGTTGATAGGCCTATTTATTTATGAGCATTATTTTAGCTTTTGACCAAAACAAAAATAAGAGTATTCATTTGACATGGCTGCTTTCAACAATAAGTAACAATAAAAATAATAATATAACAGTAAAGAATGCTATTAATTGCATATGGTTGATATTTACAATATAGAGATGATTCTTTTTAACATCATTGAGGAATGAAACTTTGAATCTGATATATATAAAACTAAAAAATATATATGAAATAGATTTGAGCATTTTTTTAAGCTTTTGGCACAAAACAAAGAAAGAGTATTCAATTATTTTTCATCATTTTGAAGAAAATAAAAATAAACTTTGGCACAAATAAGCAGAATATAAGAATGGACAAAAAAATTATTTTGGCAATTTTGATGCAATAACACTGGACAAGTATACTTAACAGCAAAATCAGCACTAAATATTAACAAACAGAATGAAAAATAAATGTGCACAAAAAGGTAACTTGGCCTATTTCATGTAGTCTTTGTTTAAAAGTGTAGTCTTTGTTTAAAAGTGGGTACTAAAAAGTAAAAAAAAAATCATGGTCACATTAAATTGCCTATATAGCAGTGCTAATAGGAAAAAAGATTTATTTCTTTTCCATTACTGCCTTCATCAAGTCCAGCATCATTTTCTCTCTTGCCGCCTCTGCTTCCATTCTTCTCTCCCTCTCCTTCTTTTCCAGTTCAAATCTGGCTTTTGACAATGCGAGTTCTTCCCTCTTGAGGGCCAGCTCCTCTTCCCGCAATCTCTTCGCATTCTGTTCCCTTTCCCTGACTATGGCCAGATAATCTTCTCTTTCTGAGCTCCTCTTTCTGCCCACACCTGACTGTCCTTCTGTTAAAGGGAGAACATGTATTTAAACAAATGATAAAAGCTAATATTACTGCTTTTATTAATCTTATCCAATAAAGTACTAGTATTTTACATATAGAGATATGTCAATCCAGTTTCTTAGTGTCATACATATTGTAATTGGCTTTATCAAATACAAAAGTGGCTATTATACAAATTACATAATACCTTTAACCTCTTTTCTATTAAGGGCTGCCTGCCTTACAGCCATCCCCTCCTCTTTTTCAGCCTTCTCAGCGTCAACCTTGTTGGCCTTAGTTTTTTGCTGAGTTTCATTGAGGAGTGCTACCAGGTCAGTGAGTAGCTGCTCTCTCTGACCGTACTCTTCATTTGTTCCAGATCTGCAATTATTTATATTTTTAATAATAATATACTTCTTCCAAAATAAAATGTGAATAAAAAATGTAACAGAACAGAGGTAATTTATATAAAGACATATGGTAAATTAAGTACTAAGAAAATTTTGAATGTGTTGAATGTGATGAGTACTTACTTTCTTGCACTCTCCATTTCATCTTTTTTAAATTTCTGAATCAAATGTGCTGTTCTCTCTCGAACAGTCCTGGCAGTGGTTAAAGTCATTTCATCGCCACGCCTCTCTTTCAATACAGCATTAAAGGAGGTGGAAACTTCTGCCCACCTTGGGCTTTCCTCAAATGGATTTACCACCAAAACCTCCTGCAGCAGGAGGATGTCTAGAGCAGGAGTGAATCTGATTTTTTTATTTTTATCGTCTGCCAAAGCCATCTTGTTTGAGAACAGAGCACTGTAATAAACAGAAAAACAATTTCATTGGGAAACCTAGCGTTTTAAATGACTTTATTTCTTCTCTATCAGTAAGCAAAATGAAAAAATTTGTTTGATTCAATCATATACATTTTCATTGTAGAAGGCAAGTGATACATGTTCACAAAGTCATGGTCATTGCATACAAGAATCCAAGGAATGTCTGGAGAGAATCTGACAACGCAAAGAGCATCTCTGTAAAAAGCCCGTTTTTCCTTCAATTAGCCATGTAACTCAAGATTATTGAGATAAAAAATCTAATGAATAGTTAATCTTGCTATGTTAATCAAAATGATATAAAGAATAATGCCTTTTCTACACTTAAAGAGCAGTTAAAAACTCGCGTTCTTCACTTACGTGTAAACAGCCTTCTTCACGTTCAGAACGTACGCAAGACGAGAACCTAGGCGAGGCTGTATGTCAAAAGTCGTGACGTAGTTGGCAACGACCTGTTACGTCACACGTATACGTACACGTTCAACGTCCTGCCGAAACTCTCTAATAACTTCGTAGAAGTCATCTGGAGATTTCGAGCCGGTGGACATCTGATCCTGCTCTTGCTCAATTACTGGAACGACAATGTTGTGGGAAGAATGCTTAGAATGTCCAGACTGGAGTGAATCATCGCCAATGCCCAAATTTTCCAGTCGACTCTCCCAGTGCTCATCCCGTTCTTTTAATGCTGATGAGAACAAACTGTATCTGGGCGAGATTTGTCGCCATCTCGGTCCTCATTTCTTTAACCCGGCGGGTTCCGCGTCTTCGTCGTCCTCCCTTCTTGGGACAACACCGGTGGGGTGAGCATCTGAGCCATCTCGATGCTGAACGTTCGTCGAATGGGAAAGTTTTGCCGCGAAGGCCTCAAATAGCGACCTGCTACTTGCTTTGCGTTCACGGCCGTTTTCTGTAAAGTTTGAACCTTCCATTTCGATCAGAATATCCGTCCTTAGATGAGAGTCTAGTATAAACAAACATAATATATATGAATATATAATCCTACAGTATCGTTTGCTGAAAATTTCTGAAATTTGCACGTGATCAAATCCCCAAAAACCAGAGCACGGAAAAAACGCGTCTAACTGAGCACAAACGCAGCAATTCACTGAGCATGCGCAGGCATATTCTATCTCACGTAAGCCCCCTTGTGAGTGAAGACGAGACAGAATTTAGCCAGCTGTGATAAAATTATACAAATGTGCTGTTTTTGCTGAACATGGGTGACGGTATTGTGTATAAAGAAGGGTCAAAAGAAGAGTGAAGTGTAAAGGACATTTATGATATAGCTGAGAATTGGGTCATTCTTTATATCACGTTTATTTATATTTTTGGCTGAGAAAAAAAAAACACATTGCACAAAGTATAACTGGAAAATCTGAGCACTAGTATTTATGCAAAAATATTGCACCATGTACTAATCTACTAAACTTTTGACTATGGTAAACAGTTTATAAAATATTTATTTTACATAAAAAACTGAGCACTTGTACATCCAAACAAAATAGTGCTTAATGTATAAGTGCACTATACTTTTCAATTGGATAAACAGCTAGCATACAAAATTTTTCAACTCATCAAATCTAGTATTAACATACATCTTAAATAATGCTCAAACTCTTTCAATATGTAAAATCTTTAGGCAGGCTCTCAGTATTTCTGATTTCTTTCATAAAAATACTTTCTCAAAGGCATCTCAGACTAAGCTTTGCTTACTGTTGCACTATTTTCACGTGGACTCATTCAATTGAACTCCAACCTCCTGATTACAAGTTCATTGAGTTTGGGCATAATACTTTGTGGCAAAAAGATGATTTGATATGTCTCTTTAACATAGCCCAAAAAAAGTGTTAGAAAAAGCCAAGTCCCACAAATTGTAAATGAATTCCTGGGGGACCTCTCCGCTCCCAGAGCTGGTATCTTCAAATTCATTTGCATGATACATGTGCTTGCCGTTGGTAACATGGAATCTGTTGCAAGTGAAAATGTCAGACTTATATCACTTGGAAATCCCATTTTTTTCATCAACTAAATTGATTTTATGCTGATGGACATGCTATTTTCATATGCTTGTTACCCAACCCATTCAGTTCATCATTAATTTTTTTAACCCAATACCTAGATTTATTCTTATTTCAAAATAGTATACCTAATGCATTGTACACACCACAAATTAGTCCAAGGCCCATAAAAAATCATCTTCTACAAGGGTGACAACACCATTTTCTTCCTTCATAAGCCTGTTCTTTGTTTCTGTTACCATAATTTGCAAGAATTCTCTTCTTGGGCCGCCATAATCAATGGCCTCCTCACCATGAAAAGCCACATACAGGGGATAGCGTAGATTTTCTACTGTCAGCAATTGTTCAAGGCCATCCTCCCACACAGAATATCTGCTAACAAATATTTCTGTGCGGTCATAACTTGGGGTTTCTTCTGTATCTATTTCTACAGTACCCATGGTACAACCCTCCAGATATTCACTACTGAATACTCTGAGTATTTTTTCAGGGTTCACTTCATCTTCTCTGAAAAATGAATATGTATTTTGTGGTTTTTCTGCAAACCAATTTATAAATATATAAGATAATATCCTTTCAAATGCTTTCTTTTTAATCCAAATCCCCTTTTTATTTTGTAACAGTTATGTCTTTTTGCATAAAACCAAACCAAATGACAGGGTTTATTTTGATATAAGCATAACAAAAAAAAATATATAGAAGTTATCATAGCTACAGTGCATATTTTCTGACAAAATAATATACATGCTGGTAGGGATTCCCTGCTACATACTAACTTAAATACTGATAATGGGACAATCCCTATAAATATAATTGTTTTTGACGCACCAGTATCTACAATAAAGTTCACTTCTTGGCCCTGAATCTTCACTGGCCAAGAAACACTAGCATTTCTACAACTGATGGTTTCAATGTCACTGTCAACAGGTGTTTTAGGGGTTCATTCTGGCCGCTGGAATGCCCCTTCTCAGTTTCCCTGGTTGTTTACATGCTGAGCCTCTTTCACAGGTGCCTTGCATTCTCTTGCCAGATGCCCATATCTATGGCCCTTGAAACACTACATTGTTTTTCCAATTTTCTGACTTGGGTGGTGGAGGGCTTTTCGTGTCTTTCGCTATCGCTTTCTTTATCAACTCTTTAATTTCATCTAGCTTCATGTCAAACTTCTTTTCAAGCTGGTGTAGCTGACTTTCAGTCACTCTGGATTCGCTGCCCTAATACTCGGTCTTTTCACTGTCTCTTCTCTTTGACTGTTGTACATCTCAAGGGCCTCCCTTGCTTCATCCAGATTTTTGGGTGTTTTCATGCCCACTGCTACGGCAGCTTGATGGTCTTGCAAACCTTTGATGAAGTGGCTCAATGCAATTGTCTCATGGGTGGTGCAGTCAGCTGTCAGGTAGCCCTTTAGTACAAGTTTTCTAATATCGGAGATATATTCTGGCAGTTTCTCTCTTGGGCTGAGCTTTCTGTTCTCTAGCTCTGATAAATAGGAACTTTTTGTACGCTTTTCTTGAAATCGGTTTTGCAACGTAGGAATTTACTACCTCTGCTGGCAACTGGACAAAGGCGAAATCAGCAGCCTCACCATGCAGACTGTTACATAATCTAAACAGTTTTTCTGACTCACTCCATTCACAAGTCTGGCTTAGAACTTTGAATGGCTCAATGAAACCCTCCTAGGATTCTTTTCCACGAAAGAGAGTCTGTCTGGGCAGTGGAATTCCATAATTAGTTTGCATACTAGTACGACTAGGACTGTTAATTCTGTAAAATGGGGGTGTTATTTCATTTGGTGCTGGGTGATTAAGGGTAGGGGTTATTGTTTCTGCTATGACTGCATTCTGGGCTCTGTGTTCCATTGGCGTAGCTGTCTCTTTCTGTCCCTCCAGGGCTCTGCCTCTGCTTCTTCTACAGCAACTTGAATTCTGTGCGCATTCAAGAGCTCTGCAGGCTTCTTCTAACTGTTCCTCCACGTTTCTCACTTCCTCCTGGTCAAATCTGTTGTCCTTTTTAGGGGGCATTTTGAATTTCTTGATTTTTCTTTGATTTCTTGAGTTTTTCTTCCAACAAGATCATTAAGTAGCTGAGGTCGTCAGGTGTGGCCTTTGCGCTGCAGTCGTAAAGTTTTAGAAATTGGTGTTGTAATGGAATCCTTTTTTACAGGGCTGTGAAGCAGGTAATGTCCATTTGAAGTGTCATCAACGCATACTTTCTCAATAAAGTTATGTTTCTCTTGATTCTTGATGATAGTGTCATACACGCGTAACTTTCATACGGTATTATGTGTTTGATGCGATAATTTGTAGGTAGAGGACTGTGGTCAGTTTTCCAAGGCAATTTGGCCACATATTGTCACCACGTCTTTCAATGTAACTTCTCTGAAAATTCTGAAAATCACTCTTTTGTTTAGTATGAAGAGCGGTGTGGTGCTTTCCATTACAACTTCTGCAGCGAAATTTTTAGAAATGCATTTTTGGCTTGTATGGTTGGGCGTAAGACCGCTAAATCACAGATGGCCTCTTTTTGCTATTTCATGGCGTGTTTCCTGTTCCAACACAACTAGGCATGTGATAGAGCAGCATTTCATTTTTCTTTTCGGCTTGTTCGTTGTTTTCTTTGTGTTACTATTGGTAAAAAACGCTGCAGTGGGTCAGTACAATTTCTGTTGATGGAACCCATCTATTTCTCCAGCTATGATTTATTTTCAAACATCAGTTATGGAATTTCTCATTTTGTTTAAAAACTCAACCAACTCTTCCTCCTCTAATAGTGGATTTAAGACTCCCTATCTCCACCCTGTCTATCATCTCTCAACTGCTCCTCTTTGTGTGAGACAGATTCTGTGTTGGAACTGCATGTTAGTGAACTTTCTTCACAGGCATTTGCTGTCTCAACATACATTCTTGCCACCCTTCCCACTCTGTTGGATGACATACTGAGGACTGAATGTATTGGCTCAGCAGCCTCTATTTATATGACTTTTGAACAAGTATGGTGGCTGGTAGGCACTCATACATGTATTTATTTTATTGAAAAAATTGTCTTTGTAAACCTTGTAAATTTACTTCAAATGCTGGCACAAATACAATGTTTTAACTAAGATATCATGATTTTTATCATGATATTAAGAAGGCATACATGATATAATATAAATGAAATATATATTTAGTACATGCTCATATATGCCACCATCCCATACCTATTTTATTATGGTTGCTTGCAACCTTCTAGCGATGTTTCCAATTGCTTGCAACCAGTGAAAACTTGTTTGCGACCAAGTGACTAAGGACTGTCAATCGACCATGTAGTTACAATTGGTATGCAGCTGGTTATAGTTTGGTTATAGCAACCTACTGACAACCAAAAAGAGATCAATAGGCAATCTCTGATATACCAATATTTTTCATTATCAGTTGTACTGGTTGTCGGTGCAAAAAAAAAAAAAAAACATCATCATGTGTCAGTGTTTGCTGGTGACGTGTTGGCAACCTCATGTGACCACTTTAAAACCTATGGCAACTAAGGTTGCAAGCACAGTATGACCCAGGCTTTAAAAAAACAAGCAAAAGGCATCTAGCAACAATTGTTGCTAATAAGCAGGACAACAAAGCAAAAGAACTATTGAAAAATATTTATTGACACTTCCCCAGCCTTTATGATAAAATATTTTGGATTATGCTTTTAGCTTAGAACTACATCTTTTTTTTAATATCTGAAACACATCATGGAGCACCTTAATCAATGTCATAATCATAACTATGCATAAATCTAATTTTTTCTACTCTCCAACTCTGCTTGATATCAACCAGAGACAGTATATTAAAGAACATTTTAATTTATGACCCTCGTCAAACTGATACATGACTATGTATGGTCCTCAGATGTTATGCTTAAACAAAATGTGTCTTGAAATGGATTAACACAAGAGGAATATGGCATATTAAATAAGATCATGACAGATATTTTAATTTGTCAAGCCTAATGAGCACAATAAATGTGTTTTGATCTAAGAAAACATGCTGTTTTTTCCTTTTATTTCTTGTTTATCCAGTAAAATACTGCATGGTCTTGTATACTTCATATAAGAAAGAATAAGGTTTTTTCAAAGCACTGACTAGATTCACATATATACCAAACTAATTATTCGTCCATGTAAATAACTCTCATTAATACTATTTTAGAATTATCTACAGAACAAAATGTGAACAATACATCTCTGAAAATATAAGACTAGTTCAACCAATAAATTTTACCCTTTGTCTACATCACTAAGCACTATTTTTCTGAAATACTCTTTTTCTAATTTAAAGATAATAAAATACCTGTCACAGCTAAATGTTGAAAAGAAGAGATCAAATATTACACATCTGTGGACCTTCCACCTGTAAGTTGCTTTTAGCATGGATCATTTAGTCCTGAATCAACAATATGTGTGAATGTAAAAATATATTGATGTAGGGGTTCATTTGTGTAAAGAACAAAGTTATTAGGAATGGATAAGTTTTTATTGTACCTAAACCAAGTAAGACTTGGCTTAGTGAGAGAACTTTTGCTGAAAGTACCTGCATGTAACTGCCATTCAACATAAAATTAAATTGTAACTTGAAACATTTTCTTAGGATACTATATATCATGTGTTTTTCATGTACAATTGCAAAGTATTTAAAAAGATTCTTTACTAAAATGAACCCTTATTTCAATCTGTTTCTATTATTTTGTTAAATCTACACAGATATTGTCAACAGCATGTGGCCCACACATTCAGCATGCTTAAATGCTACACAAAAATGCAAACATTTCCCACAGAATCATAACTACAAGCAAAATAACATACAGTCAATATACATAATAATGCAGTAACTTCTATGAACAGCAGCCTCTATTTCTGATGATGAGATCAACTAAGTTTTCCCAATTCTGCCTTTTTAAAAATCTCTGCAGCAGTGAAGATAAGGGAGTCAATGATGCCAGCCACTGTGAATGTTCCTCCTAGAATGGCACAGATCTGAAACACAGAACAGCATTTTACTAGAAAACTTATAAAAAAGTAGCCATTCTATCTATCAGAAGCAGGGACAATATACTGGGTTATCACTAGAGATTTTTCCAACAGTGACTGGACTAATACTGTAATATGTCATCATTTAGTCTGTACCACATGACACCTGTTGTCTTGTAAAAGGCAGACATAAGCAGTCATGTACCCCCTATTACAAGTTATGTAAAATAAAGTGAAAATATTTTTGCATAAATGGGAATCTAGAATAGAATATTAAATCCTCCTTCCCACACCCTGTTCTGTACTAAATTTTAAACTTCTCAGATACTCACCATGGTGAGGAAACTATAAAATGGTTTCCTTTTCTCTGTGTATTTCACTGTAATAGGACTGAGGTCAATTCTAAACCAAATTGCTGGTAGTACTCTATGTCCATGTCCATATTGTAAATAATCCTGCAATAAAATTTTGCATTTTCATGAAGTGAACATTTTACCAAAATGCTTGTTGACTTGGATGGAAAGGATGATGAGCAACAACAAGGAAAATATTTAGTAGGTCATGTTAACACATACGTACACCATTTTTTATCATCTACATACAAAAAGATGAAAATGAAATGACATGATGTCTTAAAAGTAATACCTGCACACCAAAACAATTTATTAAACAGCACTTACTCTATAAGCATATGTGTATTGGTATGGATAAGATATTTTGCCTCCAACTGTTTCAAATATTGAGGGAACTATCTTCAAGAAGTAATCATGAGATGACAAGGCTGAAAAAGAAACGTGCACATCTGTTATGAACTTTAAAAATTAATATTTCATTTCATATTTTTTAGAATATTGTGGCATCTAAAGTCACTTAAGTGATTTTAAATCAAGACATACCTCCTTAAGCCAAATGGCTTATGTTTCACTGACACAAATTATATTTAAATTTGATTAATGCAAAAGTTAAAATCTTACGGTTAGCATCCTGTTTCTCCACATCTTTAAGTGGATTAAAGGATCCAGGTAAATGTGAATGCTGAAAAATAAGGGGGAATTTAAAAAAAAAAATCAATCAATGCAATAAATATTCAATATTCAAAGCTGATCAGTTAAATCAAAACTTTAACTTAAGATAGCATCTGTTTCTGTGCAACTCATGTCTTCATTAAGAGAGTGACTCAAGTATAAGAAACTAAGGACTTAAAACCAGGGCCCAGTTTCATCAGTGATAGATAGCACTTTCCTATGGATAACACTATCCATTGAATAGAATAGTTATCCTCTGGACAGATATTCTGAGGAAAGCAGCCAAATTTAACCACCAGATATCAATATCAGAGACAAAAATAAGTATCTAGCCTTTCAGAAATATTACCTTACCCAAAGCATAACTGTCCTTAGGATAACATATTTATCCAATGGATAATGTTATCCAGAGGATAGTGCTATCCAGTGGTGATGAAACTGGGCCCAGGTTCATAAATCATAATTTTGTTGAGAGTTTTGGACAGGGTTTACCTTGGTAGTTAAAGAAAAATGTTTTTTTTTTTTTTTTTTTTTTTTGCTATGTAAATGTCTAAACTGCATTGTACACCTTTAAAAAGGTATGGTTTTTCTACCTTTCCTTTTGTGTCTCCAAACACAAGACTGTGGATAATGTGATTCATGTTGGGGCTATCTGGTTGAACCTGGGATGCATGTGTTGATATATGGAAATTACCAGGTACCTGAAATGACAAAAATGTAAATTTTTTCACTTTAATCAAAAGCATATCACTCATTCTAACTATAAAACACATAAACTCATTTAAAACCATTACTGTATTTAAACTGTGAGAAAAGTAAATCTAAGCATCAAAGTTGACACATATACAGACATCATACACTGCATGTGATTTACTGATTTACTTGCCAAAATGAATTTTCCTGGGGGGAAAAAAGCAAACCTTTCCTTGACCCATTCCCTGCACATTTATTTAATTTTTTTTTACAATTTAATTAAATAATTAAGTTCTAAATGACTGGCCAGTCATTTAGTTCAACATTTGCATTCCTGACCTTCAACAAGCATGACAGCTTCATAACACATGAAAATGGCACTGATTTTAGTATTAGGCCCATGCCATGTATAATGCAGACATTCCCAGCTGACATGGCTATCAGTGAAGGCTGGGATATCAACACCAGGTACATTTCGGGTTAACTTTTATTTAAGGGGCTACGTTGTCTTTCAGGTGTAAATAAGGATCTTTTAGAAGCTTTACAGGATAAAAATGTGACTGTGGAGAATAAGTTGACTATACACTAAGAAAACTTACCAGAGTAAGGTACAACTACAAATTTGAGATTTTTTTATTGGAATAAGGTACTTATGTCATATTTGGAATAACATTTTTACCTTATTAATGTTAAAACTGGCCTTAAACCTGCAGCCCCTCATTTCATTAATTGGCGTTTTATCAGTGTCCTCTACAAAGCCCACCTCATGGCGACCAAGATCATCCTGGATATCTAATCCAATGACTGAAAACAGAATTTCAATATAAAATTTTTAGTCTTTTTATTCTTTTCAGCTAAATAGGATAATAAAGACACGCAAATACACAAATGTTAAAAAAATGAAGTAATTCAAAGAGACAAAATAAGTTTGATGGTGAGAGGGTTTTTAAAATTCTCAAAATTTTCATTAATTTTGACCTCAACAATGGGTTGCTCAATTTTAACATTGCAGTAAACAATGAATACATTCCAATCATGATTTTCACAAGAAACCTGACATTTTACTAAACAGAGCTGTTCAGTGCAAGTAAAACAAAAAACCCTTTGACACTTACGTGGTGAAAAACAAATGTGTCATATAAAGATGGTAACAGCAGAGTTCCATTACATTATTTCCAGCGCATATAATTAAACTTATTAGATATATTTTCAGCTTACTTTCTCTGCCTTACAAACTGGAGGGAAAAAGTAGGTCAAATTTATGACCAGAGATTTTAAGTTGAAGTTTTAAAGCCTGTTTTCTGCTGCCCCAAATATTAATTTTGATTGTTTGGCATGTAGATTTTGTATTGTGTTATAAACTGGTACTATAAAATAATTCATATCTGTTACAGGACATTTACTCCTGCTTCCTGTGTGTCTGGAAATATAGGTATATCTGCATTTTCAATTTATTCTATTATATCCTGTTGCCAGTATAATTTTTTATGCTAAAATGTGTTATCATCCATTGTGATCATATAGAAATCTATGCCATCTCTAAGTAAGGAGTCTCCTGTATTTATACATACATTGACACGGCAGATGTGGGATACTCAGATCAATTTTCACTGGAATTCTGTCAGTTGTTGGATCATCTACAAACATTTCACTGACACTAAAAAACAAAAACAATTATCAATAACTATCCACAGACAAACTGTTGAAACATGCTCAAGTAAAATTTGAAACAAGTGAAAACCAAAAATCTAAAAAGAAAAAATTATTTAAAGTAATTTATTATTCATTTAATTTTGCACTACACCAACAAGCTTGTAATACTGCCAAAATAAATAAATAAATAAATAAATATATTTAAGCATGATTTAATATTATAGTAATACTGACATTTTTAGTTAATGTGGTTATTGGAAAACAATTCATATAGTGCAATAAATTGATTCTCTACAAGGTATGCACCCTATGGTACTGTTACTGTTCTTTTCTTATCTAAGTTATGATTCATATACAAAAGAATACTGTTCGAATGGCACTTACATATCTACTGATATATAGTCCAGCAGCTCTGACAGGAAAAGGTATGATATAAACAATGTACTGAGAATTGAGATGACAGCCCCAGTCTGGGTTGGCTGCGTTAAATCCTTAGGGATCTTCCGATATATATCAAACCTGCAATGTGCAAAAATATTACTTAATTTCTGTTATTTGTTTAATGGTACAAATACAATACATTGATAATAAAGATATGAAGAACTTGTATTCCATATCATTTTGTAGAAATGTAATTAAGGTTATCTTCCCACCCCCATGAAATTACTCTTCTTGAGGGAAAATAGAAAACAAGGATAAGAGAAAAGTTGCAGTCGAACACTTCAATAAAAAACTACTTCTACATTTTATGGTGTTCAGGCATGGAGGGTTTCTAGCTCAACACTTTCACAAGCACCAATAAGATTTTCAACGAAAAAAAAAATATCCAGGTACACAACAACAAATTAAAGATGCATTATATGAAAGATTCACTGAACCTGATAAAAACTGTAGGAAAAGATATCAAGAAAAGATTCCTAAATTCATATGCAAAACACCACAGGGAGATAACAGTGTCAGACTCAAATTGCACACATCCTATCAAAGATTTGGAAAGAACAATATGCTAGGAAAGAGAAAAGTACTAACTGTGTAATGACGACTTTACTTTGATCATGTCATTTAATTGGAGGTCGTGTTCAAATACAGACAGAATATATAAATAAGGCCAAATGCTATCTAGAAGGCAATTAACCCCTTTTTCTATTCATCATATGGCCATCTGATGACCTTAATTAGATATGTTACAAATCTTAATAACCCGAGTTTCAAGCAAGCATATGGAGCTGTATCATATGAATGACCTACATGTGCACAGATGGAACAGTGAGAAAGCATTTGGTTGCTTTTTGTGATAATTAATGTAGATAAAGTGTCCAGCATAAAATTAGGCAGTCTGCATATTTCATAAACAGACTACCATGCCATATATAACATTAGACAAAATTCCGTACATTTTCACAAATACTTATTTAAGGTTTTGTTATCATGTTTCATTTCAGCAAATATCTGAAAAAAAACAGACAAAAGGTATTATATGGGTTTAATATACCATTAGGTTTATCCCAAGTTTATCAAGAGGGTAGGTTATCACACAGGTAAACATACAATATGCAAGTTTTAAAGGTGGTTACTTTAGGATAATTTGCATAAAAATTCAGTGAAAATCTTATATGAAAAGGTAACTTTAAAAAGATGAAATAAAGGCATTTACATGGGACTTGCGTATATTATATGATCTAGTTTCAACTTGAAGAAGGCAAAAATCATTCAAGTTAAAAGTGAACATGTATCTCTACCTTCATCTCAGACAACATGTTTTAGTACAGTTGCAAGACAAAGATTTAATAGAGTATTCTTTGCATTAATTAACTTAAAACACAGCAGAAATGTCACAATACACCTGGAAATAATACTGTTAATTATAATTTAGTAGTGTTTTGCAACATTCGTGATTATTTAAATTTTCAAAACATGATCATTTTTTCACTAATCTGTGAGCACACTATAAAATCTGTAAATGTGATAACAACTCTCCCTTAATAGCTAGTTCACATACCAGGGCACATATATACACAATAATTTGGTAGTATTTTTAGAATAAAAGCTAATAGACCATTTGGGAGATTTTAATCACTGCTGAATTTTAAAGAAAATATTACACCTATTACTTAAGTACATGTATTACATGATGAAAAAACCTGTCAAAATTGTCTGCACCTGAATATAGAGCTGATCGAGAAACTAAAATTTGATATCTGAAATAAAATCATTTACTAGCCTAAGGGTTACTTTGGTCTTTGCTTTCAAGACAGTGGTTAAAACATTCTTGACAATGGATTTTTTTAGGATTAGTAGTAATACTAATAATTTTGAGGTTCATCAATCAAGATATTCATCATATACTTTCAAATGTGATGTACGTAGGTATAACGCACAGATTAAAAATTTAAGAATACAAAAATTTCGTTGTAAGTATCACTTACTGGTATACAGTGTATGTTTATGTATGCAGCTATGCAAGAAGCATTGGTTGTGAAGCTGAGGACGCATGCTAGCAAACAAAGATACTTTACTGCACAGGTATTCAAGCATTTTTATTTACGTTTTATATACCAGATATTTAAAGTAAATAGGGGTAAAACGTGTGTGAGAGTGCATACGATTCATTATTCAAATGCCATTCAGGCTTTGCATACGGTTAGTCACGCTGTATCCTTAATTAACTGATCGGTTTTGAATCTTAAAACCACGTAAAACGAATTTAAGATACCTCGCTAGTCTATCATTCGGCTGATCATAATGCAGCCGATCAAAATTAATCCATACTTCATACTAAAATCGACAGAGAGAGGCTTCAGTTTATAAATACCTGAATAATATAGTATTCGTTTGGTGCATCAAGTATCGAGGTAGATGGCAGTTATATATACATCTTTCTCTATGCTGTAAACGTAATGAAAATAAGTAGCTTGCAAAAAAATAAATTACCTTCTTATATCAAACTGCATCTTCCTGCCTGTCGTTCACTAAATATCTGGTCCGAATCAAAACACACAGCACATGTGAACACCGGCGGAAGTGATGTTGCAGGCAGCTCGCTCCCAACGTGCCAGCATTTCATTGGTCGCCTCTAACACAATCTGCTGGTCGATTACAGTGATAAAATTTTATAGTCCACTGCACATGGTGTCAATTCTGTGCATAATCGCATATTCTTCTACTTTCATTTTCTTATAGATATATACTTTTTGTTTAGGCATTAACGTTATATGTCATTATAATGTTGAAATATGTAATGCAACGGATTTACTTTTTTTTTTTTTTTTTGAAAACTGTGATGACGACAATGAATTTAATTCTGAAATCGGCTGTCCGTCTTTCAAAGATGTTGAAAGAATGATATACATCTTGTAGGGAAAGGATTGCGTAATTCTTTGGTCTATACTAAGTAAATATCTGGACCAAATCACAAATCATACCGTGCACGACCGTGCAAGAGACGGGTTAGACGCAGCTCAACAATACTGATGAATTTTTTAATGAATTTTCAAGATCATACTTTTCTCATGATTGTCTCGATCTAAAATTGAATTGACAGACTTGATAAAATCTAAATGGCCAAGGCAAAATATATGCTATTTTAGGGGCCTACTCCTTAATAATTTGTGGACAACCGCTGCATGCATCCAACCGCTGCATGTTGGATATTCAGAAAAAGACCTCCACCCCAGCCCCATTCCAGTTTCTGCGAAATTTCTGGCCCAAGGCCCGGTATTAAGCCTACATTAAATTCTGAAAAAGGCGTATAAATGACTAATCAGAACTAAAAGACTTTGCTGGGCGTAAGCCTATGCTTTGTACTCTGTTGGGTCAAGTTGGATCGGTATTTATTCCTCGGGTTTCTGGTTCAATAATTGGTAGATTTCATTTAGAATTAAGTCAATAGTGGATCTATCTAACCGGAAATCGGAATCTGAACATCACGCATAATCACACCGCTGTATTTTGAGCACAGCAGTGGCCTGCTACATTTATTCAAATACTTGTCGGCTTCTTCAAAAAATCTGAGCAGTAGGCGTTTGCCCGCACTTCGAATTTTAGATGCCACTGCACAAGGGATTGTAGAAATGCAAATTTTATGCACAAAGGCTTTCTTAATTGATCTTCCTGTGTCTCTAGGGAAATTGATGTCGTATCTCGCTCTTCCCCAATCTATAATTCGGCTGAGATTTGAACCTGAGCAAAGCACTGCTATCCACCAACCATCGGCGGGTTGGCGATTGATTTCCGATTTCCTTATCTCACAGCACACAAAAGGGTGCATGGGATTATTCTAAGCCTTAAACTTGTCAATTAGCAGTTTCCAGGATTCTCAGCTAATAATAATAGTTTGTTGTATTTGTTGTATCGGCGTATAGAGAATGTCTTATTCACTCTTTTCCCCCAGGATTTGCATCCATTCACAATGAATGACAAGGGAAGAGGAAAGGCATTGAAAATTCCCCTTGCTTTGTTTACCTGAAAATAAATTTTCCGAGAAAACATCAAGGAAACCTACCCATGAATCACCTTAATATTGATACCGCGATTTTTATAAGGCAATAGTGTGTTCCAGGTAAAAAGAAAGTAATGAAAGAGAGTACTAGTTTGAACGTTTCTTCTTCCCAAATCATACATCACATACAAACAAATTGTTTAAACACGGAAGCCCTTGCTGCTGTTTTTCCGCTGAAAAACATGCATCAGCAGCATGTCAATGTTTAATGGAGTATCGAAAGCATTTATACTAATTCTGTTCTTGCATTTGTTTTTTGTCCTCTCCTCCTCTCTCTCGTCCCCTCTCTTTTGTGAATGTCCTGAATTTAACGACCATACGATGATGTAAGATTTCTGTTACTGTCTCAGATGAGACCAATAGAACGCAAGTGACAAAGTCGTTACCATAGCAACAATTAATACTGGAAGAATAACCAGCGATTAATAGCTTCCTTAACTGGTGTTGGTAATATTGCTGAGGGCAGATTTTCAAAAAAAATGTTCAATTCGAGTTTTCTGCAATTTCATAGCTTTTTACTTATTCCAACCAATGTTAGAAGCTAACCTAAGAAATGAAACAGTTAAATTTTGAGATCAATATTATGCAGCATAAATGCATAACACTATTCCTCATTAATAAAAAGATCAGTCAGTACAATCCACGTTAAAAGACAAAATCCTCAGTTTCAATCACACAGACTCAATTTTCCTAGGCTTGGGGCAAAAGTAAAAATTATTGAAGAGTCAAAATCGACACGTGACATTACATTATTTTCTGGGATATTTTAGAAGCCTTTTCGTAACTAAAGCATAGTTTAAAAAAATGTAGATTTTTTCAAGGGAGGGGTGTGGTACATGTACCAGTAGTCGACATGATGTCGTGTTATGCAACTTACGTGACGTGCATTATGCTCAAATACATTGAACGGTTCACGAAAAAATACAATAGTTGTCAGGTGAAGTTCAAAGACCTATAAATATTTGCTTCTTTCTTAATAATTTCCGTTTGTCATGATTTGGATTTGCTCTACACTATTATATTTGTTTACATTCTACTATCATACCGGTTGTCCTTCACAGTGAATAAAACTGCCACTCCTAAACCAGTATCCAATGTACTCTATGTTATATTCTCATTTCTTGTAAGTGTGTTAATAGATGTGTTGTGCTGCATTGTTTAGACCTAAAGATTGAACATTAGTGACTAATTTTGTGTATTCCTGGACGTTTCGGTTAATTATAATAATTATAATTATTATTATTATTGGATTAATACTAATGATATCACGCACTACACTAATGTGTCTTCAAACTGACTCTTGTGACGCAATGTATGTGTAATGTCTTATTAAGGTGTGTCACTATTGGATGTGGAAAGTTCACTAGCATAATGAGAAACTGTAAACCGAGAGTGTAATATGGTTATTTAGACTGTAACAGAAAGAGTATCCGTTTGGTTTAAAGGTGAGTATAAGTTTTGAGGTTCTCTTCTTTTTTGTAAAGTAGTTTACCAAATACCCAACCCATCCTCTTTTGAGTATGTTCAAAGGGATACCACATCCTCCGACTTGAATGCAGCTATTCTTCCACAAATAAAACATGTATGGAAGCACTGAAGTTCTTTAGGACAGTAGTCTACACCTTGTTTACCAATTTGAGATTTATTGTGGTCATGTAAACAAACGTAGTTATTTCCCCGATGCCATCATTAGATCTTAGAGCATATTTAAGCGGGAATAGGGGTAATATGGGCTAAAAATCATGTTTTTGAGTTTATGTGTTTGTTTGTTTATATTAATGTTAAACGTATTTAATATCGGATGTGAGGGGACACAGCAGGGAGATGTAGGTACATGTGACTCGCCTCCGTTTTGTAAGATCCCCAGTTAACTGTGTGATGAGGGATATCCGTGAGTAAAACTTTGTTATTCTACGAGTCCCGAGATTCAGGTGTCTCGCCTCTATTCGTGGACCGAGGTAGAAAAGGCAATTCGGTTACCGTGCCTGTTCATGGAGATGGGGGAAGGTAGAAAAGAGGACTGGTTGCAAAAAACCAAATTTCGGCCAACGAGTGACCTTCGGCTGCAAATCCAAGGAGAGGAAAAATGGGCGTGAGAGGGGCGGGGTCTCTATTTTTGTGGCACCAAAGGATTCGCCACGGGCATCACTTGAGCGATGCAGGTAAACAAAAGTGTCTTGTCTTTGTTTAGTGGTGTTTCATCAATGGTGTCCCGCTATTGTGATGGCTTATTTGTAGCTTGTATCATATTTGATCACATGTGTCTCGCTTGTGCCAAGTTAGATGGTTATTCAAATCAGGGAATTATATCCGATACAATTCCCTGTTCAAATTCACTTACTTCCGAGCTGCTGTATCATGTTAAGGAGAGCTCCTTCGAAACACTTGGGAATACAGGTGGGAGGGCTTGTACTGAGCACGTGAACAGCTCGGGATCGGAAGTCGAATCATGAGGACGATATGTATTCCCGTTTTCAAATACCAAAAGTGCTTAAATGATTCCCATTTGGTAAATCCAAGTATCAAGCACCAACGCACATATACAAGTGCTTGTCTGAAGAATAGGTCACCGTGACATTTTGGTTGTAGTAACGGTACTTGAAAGAAAATGTAACACTGTTAAACAGTGATAGTAATGTCAACATTTTTTTTACATGATACCACCTTCAAAATATATTAATTTCCTTTAAGAAATAACACAGAAACAGTGAGAATTTTGTCACGGAGATGTAGAGTTTATTGGCATGATAAATGTAGAAAAAAAGGATACCCTCTCCAATTGTTAGAGCCGGCGTCCCTTAGCATGGTTTTTAAGTCAAAATATATGTCGGTGAGCTGTTCCTCTTATATTTATAATCGCACAGGCCTGACACACACGCCCACACAAACACGTATACATTTTTTGTATAACACAGGGTATCTTTACATATAAGCATGAGAAAGGGAATTTTACAAACGAAAATTTGGCAAAACTACGTGAGTACATTTCGGATTTTGATGAATAATGTGTCTCGTTTTCGACTTAATAGTTGACATATACCACTTTGAGTGAAGATGAGTCGTGGGAGGCGATATTTAAGACAGTGAATGAGTTGCCTGAAGAGAGGGAAGATGAGGCTAATTACATGTTAACTACAGGGTTTGGTACAAATGTTAAATCAATACCAGATCCACGTCATTTATGAAATCAATTAATAGGCAGCTGTAGACTGCATGTTTTATCAGTGTGTGTGTGTGTGTGTGTGTTTTTTACTTATTTTCTGGACATCATTATGGACATCATTTCAATGGTGTGTGCGTGAAGTTGTGTCTGTTCGTGCTTCACACTGCCTGTCACTATGTTATGGGGTCTGCATTTTTTTGTATTTACCATCTGCCCTTTAAAATAGTGTCCTTATATCAGTAATCTTTCCCATTTATTGTCTTCTTTGGGGCCGTGCGTGGTCGGTGACTTATTTTCAGAACACAATATTTTAGACTTTGGAACCGTGCGTAGTCGGTGACTTATTTTCAGAACAGAATACCGTTACGACTTTGATTTCACTTCGCCCTGCAAAATGCTGCTTTACCATCCTAATTTTCACATTCCGAAAGTTCTTTTGTACGTGTAATTCAGCACAAAAAACTCGCCATTTCTATTAGAGACCATTCCCACAGATATTTAGATCGATCTATCCCCCCTATGGAGTCTCATTAAATTGCTGTCAACTTGGCCGGCTTAAATGTCTGTCACGCCTAGTAAAGCTGTTAGTAATTATCTTTACCCTAGCTGATTCGGTAGGCGTGACAGACATTTAAGGCTTCGTTCACATGCAATGTCTATTTTCTAAATTCTATTTTCTATTTGCGGTATGTCTTATGATCACGGTCTGTGCCCTGAATATCCCGCGGCGTAATTACTGGCAGCGCGAGCCAGTTACTATAAGTTACTATAAGTAACTGGCTCGCGCTGCCAGTAATTACGCGGCGGGATATTCAGGGCACAGACCTTGATCATAAGATAGCGCGAATAGAAAATAGAATTTAGATAATAGACATTGCATGTGAATGAAGCCTAAGCCTCCTGAGCTGACAGCAATTTAGCGTGAACCGCCAGGGAGTTAGGTCGATCCAGATGAATCGATCTAAATCTGTGGGAATGCAGTCTTAATGTACTAGCACACTAGCAACTCTGGCGATATGCCTACAGGTGTTTCGTGCAGGTAACGACATAGCCGCTAGCATTTCACTTCAATGTTCTTCCAACACTGTAAATCAAACTCGTTTTGTTTATGATTTAGAATTCATTCTTTTGGAATAATCTGATAAGCCTGTTATCAGTTTTCCCACGTTCGATCAATATTTATTTATTTTTCTTTATTTCTTTAACCTTTTTTTCTCATGATCATAATTCAGCCGACAGTTCTTTAATATTGATTATTTCATGACGTAGTTTGTAGAGAACTTCCAATAAGGTCAGCAAAGGCTCCATGTACTAGTTGCAAAACCAATAAACATCCTTGCTTTTCTGACGAACCAGTATTACAGTGGGCATTAGTTATCAAAGCACCATATTTGACCTGCCTTACTGACCTAAACACCTATTCTCCAAATTTTGGAAAGCATGTAAACTTTTTAGATGACCCCTCATTTTTCTTTACTAGTATCTTTTTTAACAAAAGAGGGGTGCTTTACACAGGAATTTTATTAGCTGTACATGTGCTATGTAATAAGAATAAAGTAGAAATTTTTCTTTCAGCTAATATGGAAATTATTGCCCGATATTGAGAGGTCTATCTAAAGCATCTTCATCAGGGGTAAGCTCAATCCTTGATGAAGGTGCTCTAGATAGCATCGAAAATTGGAGGTAAGCAACAATTTTTTAGTATTAGCTGTTGGTTGAAGAAAAACAATCCCTACTTAATTTATTCTTATGAGTGCTTTAGCACTTGAATATCCACTAGGGTCTCAGACTGATTTTCACTAAATATTCACAGTATTGTCTTTGGCAAGTTCTATACGCATTTCTGAAGTGGTTCCAGCGAGAATTTTCGGTATGGAATTGTTATCACTAAGCTGGCCTCTAATATATATTGAGTAGCACAACTGTTGACTTCAATCTTTTAAACAGATTTGGTGAACAGCGACAGTCTTGGGGTGACCGATATTAATCTTCAACAAAATTATTAATTGCGCCTGCAAGTGTGATCCGATTTTGTGTGACCATATATAGCGCCATTCACAGATAATTTGGCTGTGAATTTCATTAGTTATAGGAGCATAATACATCGCAATAAGGTATCACACCTTTCCCACACGCTTCCGCTCCGAAAACGTGCCAATTTTCTCACCTTCGCACCTTTAGAATACGGCCACGTACCATGGATTATACCCAAATGTTGCTTATTGCTGTTTCATATGGCCCTCTGAGGAGTAATAGTGTTGTTATTTTTAATTCAAAACTTAAAGATTGAAATGAGGATAAAATAATTTAATATATAACAATAGATATTGTTAGTTTAACTTGATAAAGCCATACGTAACATTACATTACAAAGGACATATACAAACATTAATGAAAAATCCTATATATAACATTCTAAGTCCATGACTTCAGAGTCCATGTCTGCAGAATTTCTAATTTTATACACTACAATTAACCGTTCAATCGCCTTAATTCAAGTTGAAAAAAATCTTTAAACGTACATTTACGTGGTACTTTTGAGTTTAGAACGCCATGAAGTGAGAAGCGGCATATACAAAAAATAGTGTTGGACATTTGCTAATTGCCAAGAATAATCACTCATCTTCCGGTCCTAAGAGAGAAAGAGAGAGAGAGCTCTTTAGGGCGACTGCACTGCTGGTCCATGGACATCTCTGCATTAATGCGGAAGAGTGGAATTCGTGTGTTATTCATATATCCAAATAGTTAAATCATGACTTGAAACCTCTGACTCTTGTTGATAAAGTTTAATAGTAATACATATTTATGAGCACGTGTACTGGACATTTGTAAGCATTTATTCATGTATCATCTGCTAGTAATACGACTATACAATGCTCAGTTTCACGATCCATCGAACCCTCCACCTCAATCTTCATATACCAGTGGGCCTGTCATATTTGCCTATGATTAGCATGGCATCTAAATATAAAAAGTATTGACATAAAGAGATAAACACACTAACAAACAAACAATCAAACAAACAGATAAAATAAATAATTTATAAATAATAAATGCTTGAATTACTAAAACAGATAAAACGTCCGTTATTGCTTTAATCGAAATTAATCGGTTTCGCGCACCTAGTATTCGATATACAAGGATAAAGCACGAGTTTTCCACTAGTTTTGGCAGTGTTAAGATACGAGGCAAATGAAGCCACTATGATATTTAGGGTGGGTTCACAGGAACGTTTCCGTTTTGTTAGGTTTCAGTGACCTTGAATCTAGTGGGTTCACTTTTGATGTTTAACAAACACGTTTGTAAACAGATATGTGTATTTTTACGTGTCGGATGGTGACGTCATCGTGGCGGGAGTAAACCAGTTCATATTCATGCGACGTGGTGTCATTGAATTTGTTTGCTCTCAACACAAGTGCTTGTTATTTTTACAGATATTAATAACTCTGGTCAAGGGCATGGTTTTTATTTGAGTACATCAACATGAAGTAAATGATTATTATGCCATGACAGTAGGACTATTTTCTATTCGCGGTTTCCTGTGGCGTCCGCGCTGTGCTAGGGCCTATATTATTTGACCTCCATTCATGTGGTTTTGTGAATGGGATTTTATCGGTGTGTGTACGAGTCAGAATATTGCGCCATGTTTGGGAATATCTGTGCTAAAAGAAGACGATGACTGTATTTACTACGGTGAAGTGCCATTTCCGACTGACACGGCCTTCAGTTTCTTGCGATTATTTGTGATAATTATTGACCACGAGTTAAGATTTTAACATTTGAAGGACAAAGACTAGGCCTATCACAGCATTATCATGGCAGACTTGGAAATCTACGACCAGCCGCAGTCGCTCACAGCCACGGGTCTCGTGAAAATATGGGGATGTAACGACACGATCTTAATTGACTGTAGACCGTTCATAGCGTACAATGAAGGGCATATTCGGACATCTCACAATATAAATTGCCCACCTATTGTTAAAAGACGTTCAGGTGGTAGTTTACCCTTGGCTAATGTCATTACCTGCGCCAATTCAAGAGAAAAACTATTGGCGGGTGACTACAAAAATGTGGTTATTTATGATCAAAATACAGACGATTTCCAAAATGCCACGAAAGACTCTAATTTGTATTTGGTTGTCAAAAGCTTGCAAGAAGATGCGCGTCTGAGGAATAATGTCTTTTATCTAACTGGTAAGTTTTTGGGAATTAACGTTTATCATTTGAGACTTAAAGTAAAATTGATGTTAACACTGATTTCTCTATATGTTTGAGTGGATATCATATCATTTCTTTTGATTTAAATTTCATTTTTTATTAACCACACTTTTAATATTTCACTATAAAAAATCACGATATACCTGCTCTTCTAATATTTCACTTTTAAAAAAATCACAATTCACTGCTTATGATGGCTACATCCCGCCTTTTCTCTCCATTTGAAACACGTTTCCGGGGTTTTACCACGGTCGGATTTATTTATAACACTCAGCCTTATTTGACCCTTCAAAGAAGTGCTTTTCTAACATTGAGGAGGGATTTATTTGGCACACCAACGTATACCTGCCACGGAAGTAAACAATGTCTGGTGCCCGTCCAGGTTAATCTTATCAGTCCGTATCAGGTGACTGATGATTTTTCCCTAAGTCCGACCTTTGATTAACGTGTTGTCGAGCTAGGGATTAGTGGTGACGAATAACCGTAATCGTGAGATGTATTTATAACTAGGATGGTGTCCGTATCGTGAATCAAAAGAGAACAATTAACTGAATTGCATGCGATTAGGTTTAGTCATCGCATCTGTTGTGCTGTATAATTTTGATATGTGTGGAATTGATGTGTTTTGTGATTGTGATGGATTCATCTTGCCACTGGTTTGGTAACACGGGACGCTTTTCACGACGGCACAAGGCCGTTGAAGAAAAAATAAATGAAGAACGTGTCTTTCAAAACAGATTCAAAATGTTTATTTGGGGCTGTTTACTCGTAAAAAATTTAGACACAGGTTATAATTTTGATTATTTATTTTTATTATCTTTTTATTTTTGATAAGACATGACTTCTAACGGAAATATGATTTATGGAGTGGTTTACCTCGGATTCTTTATCAGCCGAGTAATCGCAACCTCAACAAATCCAGAGGCTAATTAATACGAGTAGAGGCAAACAAATGACATATATTTGTGGGCTTTTTGTAAATGAAGCACCCTTCTTGCACTGCACTTGTCCTCTGCAATAACAAACAGGTTATTTATTTCTACATGTGCCCGGTCCCCGAACAACATCAATATCTTCCTCTTTCATTTACTTATAAACACAAGATGAAATTATACCGTTCCCTGGGAAATGGATCTATCTTTTTCAGTTCTTGTTGATAGATAGAGCTGCTCGGAGATTAATGCTTTTAACGGTAAAATAGCTATTGTTTATTTGATTTCTCAAGATAAGTTAACCTTTTGGTTGCTGATACTAATATTAACTGTTCTTCTCCAGTGTATAAAGACTGCACTTATAACATTAAAAAGCGCAGAAAAAAAAGNAAACAGATTCAAAATGTTTATTTGGGGCTGTTTACTCGTAAAAAAATTAGACACAGGTTATAATTTTGATTATTTATTTTTATTATCTTTTTATCTTTGATAAGACATGACTTCTAACGGAAATATGATTTATGGAGTGGTTTACCTCGGATTCTTTATCAGCCGAGTAATCGCAACCTCAACAAATCCAGAGGCTAATTAATACGAGTAGAGGCAAACAAATGACATATATTTGTGGGCTTTTTGTAAATGAAGCACCCTTCTTGCACTGCACTTGTCCTCTGCAATAACAAACAGGTTATTTATTTCTACATGTGCCCGGTCCCCGAACAACATCAATATCTTCCTCTTTCATTTACTTATAAACACAAGATGAAATTATACCGTTCCCTGGGAAATGGATCTATCTTTTTCAGTTCTTGTTGATAGATAGAGCTGCTCGGAGATTAATGCTTTTAACGGTAAAATAGCTATTTTTTATTTGATTTATCAAGATAAGTTAACCTTTTGGTTGCTGATACTAATATTAACTGTTGTTCTCCAGTGTATAAAGACTGCACTTATAACATTAAAAAGCGCAGAAAAAAAAGGCTTTAAAAGGAATGGTATAATATACTATAGGGAGTGATTGTTTTTGCGTCAAATAAAGTGCGATTTCTATGTCTGATCAGTTATATAATTATATTTTTAATACAATTATATTTTTAATACGTCACGTTAAAGACTAACTTTAGACCTAAAGTAGTAAAAGAAGAAATTCGAAACTCGTGATCACACTTGGGGTTCATAACACAGTTAAAATGTGGAAAACGAATCGGAGAAAATAACGAAAACGCAACCAACATATATTTCATGGAGTTATTCGTACGGGTGATTCGCCACTATACCTTTAAATATTGTATAAATTTGTATTATATTTACATGTAAGTCATAATGATGTTGACAAACTGCTACAAGATATCCCAAGCGTTGAGAATCTAAATTTCGATGAAAATCATGTTGCCATAGGAGCCCGAAAATCTCAAATCCGAAAGTAAGTTGTGTCGCTGACTCTCAGATTTGAATAATGTAAGTGAAAGGTCGACTTTTAAGTGGAAGTTCGCATCGATCGAGCTTTGCGTAGGAGTCGCCACAAATAGATTTTCTGGCAGATTCTTATAACAGAAGTCGGATGCTTTTAATGAGGATTGATATTCGGAAAATCGGTAGGCTTGAACGAATACATTGCGAATCAAGTTGAAGGTATAGAGCATTTTGTCATAGAACTACGCTCGTGAATTTTTTAAGATTTGGTCTTTTTAGAAGAAATTTACATGAGCACTATTCGTATTGATCATATGACTGTGTAATAGAAAATCTCGGAGGAACCCAGGATTTAATATCCTATTTACTACATATAGATTCTGTGATAGATATAATTATCCAATATTTTATTGGTCTTCCGCTGCGTTCCCTGAGCAATCCCTATTTCTGCAGCCCACCGACAATAATGTTACAAGTGTGATCATGCCTATGACAATGCATTTCCTATTTCCGGGAAATTAAGGAGCGACATCAATAGAGTGCAGGAAATATGACAGAGGCGCTAATTGCATGTCAACTATCACGCTGCCTCTCCCGAGCAAGTGGATAATTTTCAAGAAGCGTTTTTTTTTAAATTCCAAAAATAAATTGATAATACTGTGGTCCTTTTTGTATACTTAAAAAAACTCTAATCTTGATATGCATTATGTTTATGTAATCCGATTGCATGCTTTCATACTGTGGGCTCGAAATTCTCATTTTCCTGTGGGTGGTTATTCTTTGCCATATCAAATTACGAAAAGATAAGATAACCAAACGTAAGTTGTGTTGTGGTATCGGAAGTATGGAATTCATGCTCGATCAACCAGGGCGCTCTGGAATGAGTGACTCTCATAAAGAATAACATCGCGGTTTCCTAATAATTATGTTATCCGTTTACTTGATGCTAAGTACACTTTACGGAATTTAGAATATCCTCTGCTATGCACAGGGTCCTGTCGTTCCTATTGACCAGTGTTCGTGTCCATTTTCGACTGAGCAGATATTGGTAAAGATTTTCGCATTTTGCAGTGTGCTGTGAAATTTTTGTCAGACAGTAAAAGTGACTAGACTTAGGTCGTTATATATGCACATTGCAATGGGCGTTTCGTTTATGTAATACGGCAGAACGATGGTATAGCGCCAGAGGTACGGGGGGTTACAACACCTAATTGAAAAATATCTAGCCTGGTAGTTTACCTGTACTAACTTTGAAAAACTACCGAAAATAAGGATATTTTTGGGGCGGGGGCAGGTCAGGTTCCCGTCTTAACGCGCGTCGACAGGTAATTCAAACACAATATCCTGCCGTAATTCATTTAGAAGACGGACTGATAATAACCAGTTTCCTGTTTACTCTCCATGTTGGTGGTGATTTATTGGAAAAACTGCCCTAAATGCTAAAACCCGTCATCTCAGTTGATTCTTGAGTGTTTATGCTCTGCAGCTGTAAATCGATTTCCAAGTATCCGATAACTCTGAGATTCACGCCAGATGGTGCTTACAGCGGTGACCGACGGGTTTTTCGGAGTTTCGTACAAGGTGGCTACACATGTTTTGCGTGTACAATCTAGGATAACTAATCTGTTGGGATAGCGTGGCCCTTCTCTACAACCAATATTTATTGTTCGATCATTTGCGCTGGCAAATCATTTCTTGACCTACTTGCATCTTTGCCCCTGTAAATAACCTTTTTAATGAAGCGCACTTCCCACGCCATTCATGGCCAGGGTGACATGTTTGCAGCGTCCATTTGTGGTTCGAAGCTTTTCCTGTTTGCTGGTCTGTTGTGAAAAAAAAAAGACGCATTATCAAACATCCATTGTATCACCAAGCTACTAACTTATCCTACATGTGAAATAGACGGTACTTTGCACGCTACTTGAACACGGCTGCCCAACCCTTGATGTTATTAACCAAGGGGAATATTGATGAGACTGATCTTGTTTTTATCCTAAACGCAGATCATACAGTAGGAGAGTGCATAGTTTATAAGGTTTTCGCGAAAATCTAAGTTTTATGCACTCCATTATCTTCACATTCCCCATAGACATTATTCGAAGCGATGCTCGCGTGTGTGTTAATCCTGTCTTTGTTCATGTGAAATATGAAATTCGTATCAGGAATATATATAGTTCTTTTCATTGACCCTTATAATTCCTCATATTTCAGGCGGATACGATGCATTTACATGTCAATATCCTCAAGCTTGTGTGAAACCGAGTTCTCCTTCATCAGGAAGTACACTGGATTCCCCCCGAGCTTGTGGAAAGGAATTTAGATTAACTGACGAGTTTTTTCGGGTAATTATCAACTGAAAAATAGTTATCAGTTTTAGAGATATGAAACTGTATTTTTTTTTATAATCAGATAACTTATGGTTAACAGAAGTTGTTCAAAAGCGATAAAGCTCCTCGTTAAATAGATTACATTTATTATTGGTGAAAACAGCAGTTTGTTAAACTTGAATTTGAAGCGGGAGTAGGTATTCTATAAATATTGATCAAAATTGCGGGTAAAAATGTGAAGATGTATTTGTTTGAATGCAAACTTTTTACTTTCTACGTGTTTAGGGAGAAGCAGTGGAGATATTACCCTGGCTATATCTGGGCAGTTCAGTTCATGCTTCTCAGAAGTCGAAACTGCGTGCTGCGGGGATAACGGCCCTGCTCAACGTATCCAACAGTTGCCAGAACCATTTCCCGGAGAGCTTTCTGTACAAAACCATACCAGTCGCCGACGACAGCTTTTCAGAGATTGGGAAGTGGTTTCAGGATGCAATAAATTTCATAGGTAAGTCGGGTGTACCTGTGCCCATTTGGCATTCAACTCGTTTAATTTGGCATTTAGCGCAACTGGCTCAAACTTTGAGTAAACAGGAAAACGAAATTTGTTGACTGTGGAGGTCCCTTAGAAATATGTTACCACCTTGAACTAGCGGCGCATCTCTCTGCGAGGCGTTTGCGGTTAATGAAGAGCGTCAGTCGGTTCTATCAATTACTTGCTTTTGAAGAGGGGATAGGCGTGCATCTCTGTACTTAATTATGAGCGAAATAAGCAACACATCCTGTAAACCGCATATGAGATTAAAGCATCTCCATTATGTGTGGCATTTACCTTCGTAACAACACCAGTTTTTGTACCACGATAGAGCAATTTCCCCTCGGTCCTATCGGTGTACAGGACATGAGGCAAAATATTACTTGTGATGACCACAAATACTTATTCAAAGCTCCAATAAACCCTTTGTTTACCTTTTTTAATGAAAGAACAGGAAGTCCATTTAGTCTTACTTCTCGTGACCTTTTCGGTCCATTTCGTTTAATATTCCCCTTTCCTGCTACAGATCTTCGATTTTATTGAAAAAGGACACTCACTATTTTAGCCGATTTTGGTCGTTTCCGGTGTTTTGTAACCCTTCCTTATCACACGGAAATTAATGGCAGTCGGATGTACATTAATTTGATCTTGCGCAGTTATAAAGGTAGTTATCTTGTTTTTGTACCTTGATTGGAGACGTACCTGTCTGCTAATGAGATAATAAGGCGAACTACTGCGCGGAGACAAATTGGCCGCCGCAGGTTTTACACACTAACTCGCGCCACCTATTACCGGTTCCCAAACGGCACGAGTTCCCCTTGACATCTAATTTTGCAGAAACGCTTCAGTAACCCCGTTATTAACACTACAAGGTCACACACATTTTCGAAACTAGTAGATTGATTCCAGTTGTATGGCACGTGTCAACAAGTACAGTATAAACACGCCATTTCTGTTTGGAGGAAATTTAATTTTGTGACAAATAAGAAAATTCCATAGGTGATTCATCGTGTTTACACGAGTTGTTATTCTCTAGTGCCAGCATTTTAGAATGACTGGTGACGATATGTTACTATTCATAGTGAGCAATTTAGTTGTTTGCTACAGAATATATTGTATATTTTTCAGATTCAGTGAGATCAGCTTCCGGAAAAGTATTAGTCCATTGCCATGCGGGTGTTAGCCGATCCGCCACGATCTGCATCGCGTACGTGATGCAGTTTAAAAAGTGCTCTTTGGACGAGGCCTACAATCACGTGAAAACCCGTCGAAACGTGATAGCACCGAATCTCAACTTTATGTCGCAGTTAGAAGAATTCAACAAACAGATTGTTTGCAGTTACCCAGGTCTTCCATCGTCAAAGATTGCAACTTCTACTGTTTCTCCACTTGGATTTTTAAACAGTAGTTGTGCTAATCACATGCCCAAATTTGACTTTTCTTTCGGTGATGTTGGTTCCCCAGTCAGTCCCGTTTTGACTCCAGATGGACATGCACATTTTTTTGGAACTTTCCAGCCATTAATGTCTCCAAGTTGACATAAGGTTTGATTATGCACAGCTTAATCTGCGTGTCATCATCCTTGTAATTAAGTGCTTATTTGATCGACTATGAGAGAGGTGTGTTTTTTGTGCGTAGATTTTATTGTTTCAAAAATTTATGTCGGTGTTATACCTGTGTCATGCTAATTGAGAAAACTTTGTCTTGATCTGTTGAGATCAAAAATTGTCACATAAATTGAGGAAAGAATTCATTCTTTTATTTACAACTAATTATAGATATCTGTTTTGGTAATTTATCGATGCCACATAGATTAGAGTAGGAGTTCTTGTTTTTGTTTATGGATTTTGTTAATTGTCGAGTAATTTATTTTCATGGATGTATCATTGTTGCGTTGTTCGATTGACCACACTAATATATATTTAGCATTTTTCGGTTATTTTTGATGTTGGTTATGTTTTATGTTCATGGCAATAATGGACGCAACCTAGGTTACTGTATGCATTCAGGATGACAAATGTTTTCTGAACATTAAAGCAATTAATTTATATATATATCTGTACATAATCATGTAATGATTTAATTGTAATTAATTTATTTATTATGATTGTACATTGTACAAAGATTTAGTGCTCTGGTACATAAAAATACTGACAATCTGTTCTGTGCAACTCAGGTGCTATTATTGCAATTTTATGTTAACTCAATTTCTTGTGAGTAATATCGACAATATTGATTAAACAGTAAACATAAATATTGTTAGTATTGTTTTCTCTCCTTCTAAGCAAACGTTGCCAATTTAATTATTTTCTGTAGTTTACATGAGGTACAAATTGTGTTTCAGAGGCAAGGGTATAAACAAACTTATAATCTAAAATGAGACCTGTGTCGCATGCCGTTTACTAGAATGCCACTACTTCTCTACAATTAATTGCCACGACCAAATCGGAAAAAAATAGATTTTCCTTGGCACTTTCGAAAATACATTTGATTTTTTTGTCTTATTTTCGAGCGGAAACAGTTCAGTTTTCAACATAAATATCAGTATAGATTATTATCATTTTATTGCATATAATATTATTGCAGTTACAAAATACATTTGATCAAAAAGGGTGGCAACTTTTATTTTAACATTCTTGAAGATTTGTTTGAACAACTGAGAACTTGTGAAATTAGAGCACATGCAAGAAGCACTCGTAAATTGAGCAAAATATAGAGACAGAATCACAGTATTAAGCAATTTCAGCGATTTAGTTATGCCTATTAAACCAGGTACTTTGAGACTTGGGTGCTTCATAGAAGAATTAGGAGATAAATCTTAGTTCACATATAAATCGAAATCCGATAATTGTATTTTACACAGGCTTTGGACAAAACAGTGCACAAAACTAGTTTCAAAAGTGAAAAATATAATGAAAATTAACCTCAAATTCACTGAAACGCAGCAATCAGTGGGTTAATAAAGTTTGTACTCTATGACTATGTGGTAACGAAGTTAGATAAGAACGATCTTTCATCCACCATGCATTCACAGGAGACGTGAATTGGCTGCGTGTACAGCTCCCACTCGTCTACAGCCACTGCATTGCCGTCTGAGTTGGTGACCAAGCTGCACTTGCCCGTCTTGCGCAACATGTTCACGTATATGTACTGCTGTCTACACTGGCCATTTGCTGAAATGTTTCAAATTCCAAACGCTAACTGACCACATTTGATAAAAGAAGAAAATATTCTGATAAAACGTCAAAGCTCTGTCCGTAATAGCCTAATAGGCCAAAGGAAGGAGATAAATTAATCCCGCATTTCATTGTCGAATAAATAGGGACCTAAGCCATAAGAAAGTTTGGTGTTCTTTTTAAGGACACTGACTCCCCATGTTTGTTTATTACTTTGCTATACTTGTTACAGACAGACGAAATTAGACCAAAGCACATATCTTGAGTGCATATAATTTCTACAAACGGACCAAACCCTCTCTGCTGACTTTGCATAATGGTCATCTATCGATGCATTATTTAATCTATTAAACAATTAAATCTATCAGAAGCACTACACATTAATGTCATTAATGTTATATTTATAGTAAAATGCGGGTCTGGCCATCGGTCATATTAAACAACTGCATTGTAAAGTACCAAGGTAACACAGCACAATCTCAACTAACACAACTGCCGCAAATTACCTGTTCCAGATACGAACAAGCAGCCATTATCGTTAGCCGAAGAGCTGGTAGACGACAAACTATCTCCACAGGAAACTTCGTTGAGCACTCGTGGAAAGTAGGAGTCCGACAATGTTGTAGTTGTAGAGCAAGTAGTGCACATTTGTAAATAACCGTCATCACTGGTGCCTCTGTACACACATGAACCATTCGTTGTCACTGGAATTTTTATAGAATAATTAACTTTTTTGTGCTTCTTTTCACTGTTCATTATGAACTATCACCTCTTACTACCCACAATGGACAAGTATGTAATTTTAAAAAAGCGTAACAATATTGCCCACTTCACCCCGTCTCCACACACGCGTCTTACCAAAGGTTATTGTACGTAATTTATTCTGTTTATTTATACGATCTTACGTATGTCAGTCGAGAAAATATCTTTGCTATGACCATTCAACCTACCACTGCCAGAATTGCTCTGACGCTTCTTTCGACCGTAAGTCTCACCAGACAAAATTATATTTTCAGGGACCTTGGCAACCGTCATGCCGCACTTTCTCTGGATTTTTGCAAATTGTCGAAAGATTTTTATCAAGTCGTTTGATGCTAAATAACTTGACTCTGGTTTTATGCCTGGCGCATACGGTCCATGGTCAGTCCGCGGCGGTGGGGGCGTCAACTGGCCTGGCGGAGAATTGGGTGGCTGTTTCCCGGGCTAACAAGTGAAAAATTATGCCAATATTAGCAGCTTATTGGCATATTTCATTTTCAAATATGTTTACGTTTTAAGATTTTCATAATCAATGTGTCTTCTTAAATGCTACTTATTTTAGTAATAGGGTTACCAAAATTGTGCATTATACATTTATATTTTATTTTTCTCTGTAAAAGATATTCACTGCTGTCTGTTTTGCGTTGTACGCGTGTGATTCACCAGTAGCATTGGAGTTTGGTAATGCATTGAATAATTTAGATGATTTAATGGCCAAATTTACTTTTCGCCTCTGTCACTGTCAAAAATATTTCTATAACAGGTCTTTTGGACCTATCAAGTGTCAAGTAATGACATCCGCACCGGCCAGACCAATCCTTTAGACAAGAATGAAATCATAGTGCATGAAGCATCATTAATGTCACCGGCTGTTCGACCATGTAATGAGGCCCGAGGACAGAAATCAACACACCTCGGTATCTAAAACAGGACACCACAATTACGGGATACGACCTGACACAAACATAGACGTACCTTAGGTCGATGTGGCTTATTCAACGGCCTGAACATCAGCTTTGCTTCTTCAGTGGTCTTAGCCATATACTCAGTCAAATATTCGCCCCCTTTCTGTTTTAAAACCTCCATCAACTCATCA